TTCTTGTAATTAATTCCTAGATTTATACCATTGTATTTAGAAAAGATGCTTGTGATTTCAATATTCCTGAATTTATTGAGAATCATTTTGTGGCCTAACTTGATCTATCCTGGAAAATGTTCCATGTGCACTTGAGAAGAAGATGTATTCTGCTTATTTTGGATCAAATGTTCTGCATATATTTATTAAATCCATCTTAATAGATCTAAAAATGTCCTTAAGCCTGATATTTCCTTATTGATTTCTGAATGGATGATCTCTCCATTGATAAAAATGGGGTGCTAAAGTCTCTAATATTATTGAATTCTGTCAATTTCTCTCTTTAGGTATGTTAATATTCACTTCATATATTTTGATACTCCTATGTTGAATGCATATATATTCACAAATGTTATATCTTCTTGCTGGATTAGCCTTTTTATCATTATTTAATGCCCTTTGCCTTGTATTACAGTCTTTGTCTTTTTAAAGTCTTTTTGTCTTATATGATTTGATTTTTAAATTTCTATTTATATGAAACATTTTTTTCCCATCCCTTCACTTTCAGTCAGTGAGTCTTCTTACATCTGAAGTAAGTCTCTTGTAGGGAGCAAATAGACACATTTTGTTTATTTAACCATTTATCCATTCTGTGTCTTTTGAATGGATAATTTAGTCCATTAACATTCAAGTAATTATTAATAGATATGTAATTACTGACATTTTATTAATTTTTTATTAGCTGTTTTATAGTTTCTCTGTGTTCTTTTTCTTTCTTTTTTTAAAATATATTTTATTGATTTCTTACAGAGAGGAAGGGAGAGAGACAGAGAGTTAGAAACATCGATGAGAGAGAATCATTGATCAGCTGCCTCTTGCACACCCCCTACTGGGGATGAGCCCGCAACCAAGGTACATGCCCTTGACCGGAATCAAACCCGGGACCTTTCAGTCTGCAGGCAGATGCTCTATCCTCTGAGCCAAACCGGTTTCGGCTCTCTGTGTTCTTATTCTTTTCTCTTGCTCTCTTCCCTGTGGATTGATCACTTTATTTGATAGTATGCTTACATTCCTTCTCATTCTCTTTTGTGTATCTGCTATGGGTTTTTGTTTTGTGGTTACTATTAAGCTCACATAGAGCAGCCTATATCCATAAAACAGTCTGCTTTAAATTGATAGCAAGTCACATTTGAGTGCATTCTAAAACTCTACACTTCTACTACCCTTGCCATGTTTTATATTTTTGATGTCACATTTAAATTTTTTTATTTTATGCATACCTTAACTAATTACTATAATTTTAGTTAATTTTACTACATTTTTCTTTTAACTTTATAATACCTTTATAAGTGATGACTCTGTTGCTTTAAGCATATATTTACCTTTATCAGTAGGATTTTTACTTTCATGTGTTTTCTTGTTATTAATTAGTGCCATTTCTTTTCAGCTTAAAGAAATCCCTTAACATTTCTTATAAAGATAAGTTAGTGGTGACAAACTTCTTTGGATTTTGCTTTATTTCTTCTGGAAGATTCTTTATTTCTTCTTGAATTCTGAATGATAACCATGCTGATAGAGTGTTCTTGGTTGAAAATTATTTTTTTTTCTGGCATTTTGAATATGTCTTGCTGCTCCCTTTTGGCCCATAAAATTTCTGCTAAAATATCTTCTGATAGCCTTATGGGGTTTCCCTTGTATGAAATAAGTTGTTTTCTTTTACTGCTTTCAAAATGATCTCTATCTTTTGCCATTTTAATTACAATGTGTCTTGGTGCATATGTCTTTACTTTATTTGGAACTCTCTGGGATTTCTGAACCTAGAGGTCTGTTCACTTTCCCAGGTTAGGAAGTTTTCAGCCATTATTTCTTCAAATACTTTTCTGACTCTTCTCTCTCTCTCTCTTTGCCTTCTGTTTTAATGCAAATGTTATTCCTCTCAATGTTGTCCTATGCGTCTTTTAAGCCATATTGACTTTTTAAAAATTATCTTCTCTTTGTGGTACTCTGCTTGTGTCAGGTCCGGTGCTTTGTCTTACAGCTCACTGATCTGTCGTTCTGCTTTATCCAGTCTGTTTTTGAACCTCTCTAGTATATTCTTCAGTTCGGTTATTGTAAGCTTCAGTGCTATATCTTCTGATACTTTCTTTTATTTTCTCTTTCTTTGTTGAAGATCTCACTATGTTCATTCACTCTTTTTCCAAGTTTGTTAAACAACTTTATGACCATTCATTTGAATTATCAGGTAGATTACTTCTTTATATTGTTAAAATTTTTCTGAGTTTTTTTCTTGTTCTTTTATGTGGAATATATTGCTTTGTTTCCTCACTTCGTTTAACTCTCTGTTTGTGTGTATTAGGCAAAATAGCTATTTCTCTCAGTCTGGAATGAGTGGCCTTGAATAGGTGATGAACTTTATTAATCAACTTTGCCCTAGCTCTTGGTTGTCTCTTAAGCCTTTATGTGGTTTAAACAGACTGATTTATTCTTAACAGGTCCCCATTGTTGAGGGGATGGCAAGACCTGTCAGTTTCTCAAGGATATGAATCTTATTTTGCACCTAGTTTCAAGTTCATTGGAAGCCAGACTCTCAAGGCAGCAGCTTTTAAAGTACGTGAATATATCCACAGTCATTAGCCCTGCTGGTCTCCAGATCAGGAGATCTGGAAGTGTTTCGTAGGTGATGCTGGCTGTCTTCAGTAAGGCAGCAAGAAACCCTTCACTGTCATGCCTGGGGAAAAATGTCCTGTCTGTGTGTGCACATGCACACATGCTGCCTTTAGGGAGGGAGCAGGAGGATGTGTGCTTGCAGGCCCCAGCCAGGGAGTGGGAGAGTGTTGCAACTGGCTTTGCTGGTGACTTTCTGTTCATCTTCCCAGCCAGGGAGTGGTTGGATGTTGCAACCCCACTCTCCCATTTCAGCAAGGTAGTGGGACAGTGTGGAAACTACTCACCCTGCCTGTCCTAGCAATGCAGTATGTGTGTTGGGGGGTGGAGCAGGGGGTTGATAGTGGGGTAGGGTGCAACACCCAGTCTCACCACTTACGGTAGTAGGGCAGGTGGAGAATGCAAAAATAGAATCTGCCAGTGCCTCCATCTCCAGAGAGAGTTTCAATTATTCTCTGCTCCATCAGCAGGTGCTTTCAGGTGCTTTAAGATTAGTAAATGACTCTCCTCATGTAGTCTAAGCACTTTTCAAACTTCTTCTTTTGCACTGGGTCCCCAGACAAATAAAACCTCACATGAGCCCTTAAAAAGAAGAATCTCAGTTCCCTAAAGCCCTTTGGGTCCCTTATATCATCCCCGTAAGTTTTCTAATCCAGACACATATGGGGCGTGTCTCTCCAGTGCAGATCCCAGGTGCTGGGGGTGTGATGTTAAGCTCTCGTCTGCAGGGGAAGCACCAAGCTGGTGAGATCCTCCCTATCGTGTGTTGCTCCATTACAGAAGCCTGTCTCTGCTTCCTTACCCAGATCAATGTGGTCCTTTTATCTTTTCTTCATGGAGGAGCAGTGTAGTTTGCAGGTATTTTTGGAGGAAAATGATCCATATGTAGCTATAGGTCCAATGTGTCCGTGTCCAAGGGAGGAGGCGAGCTCAGCATCTTCCTGTGCTGCCATCTTGGACCCCCATCTGAAGGTGGCACAGCTCAGTGCAATTTCAGAAAATTTTAATCTGGGAAACAGGGAGGGCAAATAGAAGAAATTAAACTCTCTGGAAATTTGCTAAACTTTTAAAATGTAGATTTTAAAATAAAATTTTATAGGAGTGACATTACTCAACATAAATATATAGGTTACATGTGTGGATTACTAATTTACAAAATCTATATATAGGACCATGTAACCACCACCCAAAGTCAAATCTTCTCCTGTCACCACATATTAGGACCCCTTTTTTCCCCCATCCTCCTCCCTCTGACAACCACCACACTGCTGTTTGGGTTCATAAATTTCAGTTTTATATTCCACATTTGAGTTAAATCATATAGTTCTTAGCTTTTTCTGTCTGACTTATTTCACTTCCCATAATGTTCTCAAGGTCCATCCGTGTTGTAAATGATGCCATTTCATCCTTTCTTATGGCAGTGCAGTACTCATTGTGTATATGTACCACATCTTCTTTATCCAGTCCTCCATCATAGGGTACTTTGGCTATTTCCAACCTTTGGCCACCATGAATAATGCTGCAATGAACATAGGGAAGCATATATCTTTGCATATAAGTTATTTTGATTTTTGGGGGCATAAACCCAGGAGTGGAATTGTTGGGTCATATGGTAGCTCTATTTTTAATTTTTTAAGGGTGGCAGAGTGCTTTCCATAGTGGTTGTACCAGTCTACATTCCCACCAGCAGTGAATGAGGTTTCCTTTCTCCCCACAACCTCTCCAACACTTGTTGCTGCTTGTCTTGTTGATAGTGGCCATTCTAGCTGGTGTAAGGTGGTATTTCACTGCATTAGAACATTTTATGGACTTGACCCCAAATTCAAGGGAGGTAAAGGCAAAAATAAATGAATGGGACTATATCAAATATAAGAGCTTTTGGACAGCAAAAGAAATGGACAACAAAACAAACAGGCAGCCAACCAGATGGGAGATGATATTTTCAAACAGTAGCTCTGACAAAGGCTTAATTTCCAAAAAATATAAAGAACTCATAAAACTCAACACCAAACAACTAAGCAATCCAATCAAAAAGTGGGCCGAGGACCTGAAAATTCACCTATTTCAAGAAGACATACAAACAACCAATAGATATGAACAAATGTTCAACCTCATTGGCAATCAGAAAAATGTACATGGTTTTTGAAGTTCCAAATAATTTTGTTGATATTTAGTTGTGAAATGCATTTTAAACTCCATTTATAAGGCACTTTAAAACATATGTCTTTAAATATGAATATAATTTGTACAATAAAGTGTACAGATCTTAAGTGTACTGTTCAAAGTATTTTAATGTGTATATTTTTATGTCACCAATATCACAGTTGAGCTATTACAAGGTATTTCTTTTAATTTAGGCAAATGTTATAGTGACTGCCTGGTCTGGGGCACATGGAGGTGATCCATTTACCCTACAATATAGAGGGTGTGGAAAAGAGGGAAAACACATCTATTTCACACCTGACTTTCTACTGAATGATGACTTAACAGCTGGCTATGGACCACGAGGTAAGAAATAAACATTTGCCATTACTTTTTACAATATTCTGGGCTTAGTGTGGAAAAAAATTCAGAGAACCTGAAATTTGCCAAGACTTACCCTATTGTTGGGAGATAGGCCATATACCCATGAAAAATGAGGAACAAAGTGGGCCAGAAAGAATTAAGCATCAGGTTAATGGCCCCGACAGTTAGTATTGTAAGAATTTAGTGAAAGGAGAAAACTAAGGATGTCAGAAATGACCTCATTGAGCAGAGGATCTTCAAGGTTAAATGTCATTTTGATAAAAGGAAAGGGGGGAGAGAACAGTGGAAATAGTATGGATAAATTTGTTCCAGCAGAAGAATCCAGGGCATATTTAGACATGTGAGCAGCAGATCCTATTAATGGGGCAGAGTGACTGTGGGCAGTGAAGTAGCAGGTGAAAATGCTGACATACACATGGGAGTTAGTGATGAAGAGCTTCAAGTGCTCAACTTATTATAGTAAGTCACCATTGAAAGTGTATACTAATAAGCATGGGAGTACCAATATCAAAGCAGTGTTTTAAGATGATGAACCGGGCTGTGAGGATAATCTGTATTCCTCATCTCAATGAGGGAAAACTGGATGAAAGGAGAACAACCTTGTTCAGGTACAAGGCCACGAGACTTGTGGAATGTGGAGGCAGTGAGATGAGAAGGATAGGAAAGGTAGGAATAACAACAATGAGAATTTTCCATGTTCTAGGTGCTGTGCTGTTTGCTTTTCAAATGTTATCGTGTTTAATCCTAACAACTCTACGTGATGAGAGACATTCCAGAAGGGAAAAGGAGAAAGAGGTCTGAAGTGCTATAGTATGAAGGATAAGGGGGATGTGTGTGAGAGCATTAGGAACACACCAAGTTTTTGGCAGAAATGGAAGGAATCAATTTAAAGGAGAAAATCCATATGTATGGATTAAGGCAAATGGATTGTGAGAAACAGTGAACTATCCTGGGGGGAGGTGGGAGGAAGAACAGCCTGTGGATGAATGTGTGTGGCTGGAGTTTGGGAGAGTAGTCAGGTTTGGAAACTGGCATTTAGTGGGTGAGATCTGAGGGGGAAACTATGTTTAGAAAAGATCAGCAGGTCAAGAACTAACCATCCCAATCTTAATTTTCTGTTTTTTATTTTAACATATAGTATTGCTTTTCAATGCTGCTACTATGATTACCCCCATTTAAATCTAAATAGATTCTGTTATCCTCTATATAGCTAGTAGAAGTTGGGGTGACACACTCTATAAAACACATTTTATAAGACACTTAAAACTTTGTAAGAGTTTTTTTTCTGATAACTATGTGTTATTGATAATTTCTGCATAAACATATAATTTCATCAGCACTTCTAAATTCTGAGTAGGCACAAATTTTTTCTTAAGATTTTCAACTTACACTATTCCCCTCCCTTCCTTTGTCCCAAGGTCAAAAATTGCACAATATGCCACAGCTTGAGTCATCTGAGCAAATACTTCCTGGATTTCCATAACTTTAACAATTTTTTAAAGTGCACTTTAAAAGATGAGTTAAACTGGAAAGCATCATGGAAGGAAAAGTCAGTTTTTATCTGAATGTTGAAGAAAATGAAATATTTAGAGAGGTAGAGAAAAGATTATAAAGGATTGTATGCTAAGGATGAGAGTTTCCATGAGCTAAGAGTTGCAAATAAATATAAATGTGAAGAATCAGGGATGAAAAGAAAAGAGAAGAGAAAAGAAGAGAAAGGAAGGGAAAGAAAGGGAAGGGAAAGGAAGGGAAGGGAAGGGAAGGGAAGGGAAGGGAAGGGAAGGGAAGGGAAGGGAAGGGAAGGGAAGGGAAGGGAAGGGAAGGGAAAGGGAAGGAAAGGGAAAGGGAAAGGGGAAAGGGAAGGAGAAGGGGAAGGGGAAAGGGAAGGAGAAGGGGAAGGGAAGGGAAAAGTAAGGGGAAGGGAAAGGGAAGGGAAAGAAAAGAAAAGAAAAGAAAATGGAAGAAAAAGGAAGAAAATGGAAGAAAAAGGAAGAAAAGGAAAGAAAAAGAATAATCTATGTTAGAAAGGAAGTTCTATGATTTCTTTGCTCCTTCCTCTCTCCCTGGCCCCAATGTTCTAATCATGGTTCTGGATAGTAGAATTATTTCCAAGAAAAAAAAAAATCAGGCATGTTTGGATAACATAGACTGATCAATAAGAAAGGTTTATTTGCTTATTTTGTATCTTACTCTGTCTGGGCTGCTATAAAAATATTATAGACTGGGTGACTTATAAACAACATAAATTTCTCACAGTTCTGGAGTCTGGAAGTCCAAGATTAAGGCACCAGCAGATTCGGTGTCTGCTGACGCTAAATATACCCTTCCTGGTACATAAACAGCCATCTTCTCTTTGTGTCCTCACCTGGCAGAAACAGGAAAGGAGCACTCTGGATTCTCTCTCTAATTCGTTTATTCTTTTTGTTAATCGTCACCCACAGATATTGCTTGTATTGATTTTTTTTTTTAGAGAGAGAGTGTAAGGGAGGGAGTGGGAGAAGAGAAGGAGAAAAAGAAAAAAGAGAGAGAGACAGAAAGAAAGAGACAGATAGAAACATTGATGTTCTAGAATCTAGAGTCATATCAATTGGTTGTCTCCTGCACATACCCCAACTGATGCAGGGGATGGAATCTGCAACCCAGGTACATGCCCTTGACTGGGAATCAACCCGAGAACCTTCTGTGTGCAGGCCAACACTCTAACCACCAAGTAACACCAGCCAGGGCTGGAATCTCTTTTATAAGGTCACTAATCACATTATGGGGTTTTACCTTCATGATCTAATCTACCTCCTAATATTATCTCATTGGGCATTAGGATTTCAACATCTGAATTTTGTGGGCATGTAAACATTCAATTCATTGCACTTAAATATGCTTCTTTTCTTTTCTGCAAATCCTGACATTATAGGCTTATATGAAGCTAAATAGAAGCCTGTTAGGCAGCTTCATTGAGGAAATGAGAAGATGTAGGACTGCTCACCAGTTTCAAATAGATGTGCAAGTCAATCACCAGTTTGCATTTATGGGACTAGACACATGTGACTCTGCCTCTTTTATGATGGTAGGGTATAAAGGAGAGGTGATGAAATGCAGTGAGAAAGATGAAAGTGGAAGAGAAAATTGTACTTCAACCCTTTGGATTGAGCATATATAGTCAAGTACTGTTACATTTGCACTGATTAACAAATCTATTGCTGAGATTTTAGAGACTCAAAACAAAAGCTCTCTCGTCCACAGGCAGAGTGTTTGTCCATGAATGGGCCCATCTTCGTTGGGGTGTGTTTGATGAATATAACAATGAAAAGCCTTTCTACATAAATGGGCAAAATCAAATTGAAGTAACAAGGTTAGTAATTTTCTAATGCTAAAAATTCAGTTTATTTATTTTTTACTCTACAGGTAAGTATATAATGGCAGCTAAAACTTAATTGACAATTTTAAAATGCTTAAGTGACTCAAATATCCAAAAGTTATATTAGATATCTCACATCATTATTGTCTTTACCCTTGCTCTCTCATTCCCTCTAGATAACTAATAACATTTTTATTAGTTTCTTTTTTTTCTCAGGATTTTTCTAGATGTTTTTTTTAATGTGTATTTTTTTATATTCTATTTTTATTTTTAATAATTACACTAGAGGCCCAGTGCATAGATTTGTGCAGATTGAAAGGAAATTAATTAGAAGAAATATTTTAGAGATCGGGGAAGGACCATGGGAGGTTGACTCCAGGGTATGTCCAGCCCATCTTGTCCAGTCCTGATAGGCTGGACCCCAGCAGCAAGCTAACTTACCAGTCAGAGCATCTGCCTCTTGGTGGTCAGTGCACATAATAGCGACTAGTTGAAAGGTCAGACACTTAGCATAGTAGGCTTTTATTATGTAGGATAGTGTTTTATTATATGGATGTAACATAATTTCTCAGTCACTCTCCTATTGTACAAGTGTGTTGTTCCTAATCTTTTACTACCAACATTACTACAGGTGATAATGCTATATATGTGCCATTTCTCATGTATGCAGGCTGATCTGTATATCTATTAAATAACCTATTCTATTAAGAATTACTGACTCAAAAGGTACGCCAAGCTGTAATTTTGTTAAGTGTTGATTGATTCCTCTCCTTAAGATTGTATTGTTTTTTCACTCCCTTCAACTATTTGAAATTAGTATTTAGAAAGGAATCCTTTAATTATTTTATTTTTAATATATTTTATTGATTTTTTTACAGAGAGGAAAGGAGAAGGATGAAGACTTAGAAACATCAATGAGAGAGAAACATCGATCAGCTGTCTCCTGCACACCCCCTTCTGGGGATGTGCCCACAACCAATGTACATGCTCTTGACCAGAATCAAACCTGGGACCCTTCAGTCCGCAGGCCAATGCTCTATCCACTGAGCCAAACCGGTTTCGGCGGAAGGAATTCTTTTAAATATTATCATTACGTGTCCATTTTCTTCTTTCTCCGATGTCCAATGGCAATGAGCTCAAAGGAACCCTGACTTAGAATACTGCCTCTCATGCTCTGCCAGGAATCTCAAAAAGTTCACATTGATTCCCGATAACTTGTGCTTTGACCTTGTTTAATTGGTAAAATCCTTGGCAATACAAAACCTCTCATCAGGACCAAATTCTTTAAAATAGAGTCTATTTCTAAATTGAACTTTAATAAAGTAGTTTTAAAAATATTTTATATGTTTCTAGTAAGCCTTAGTCTTTGCAACTCATTATTATGTGAGCTAGTGAAGAAAAAAACACAAGTATTTCTAAAATAGACATACTTTTTCTTTCTATTTTTAGGTGCTCATCTGACATCACCGGCGTATTTGTGTGTGAAAAAGGGCCTTGCCCCCAAGAGAACTGTATTACTAGTAAGCTTTTTCAAGAAGGTTGCTTGTTTTTATACAACAGCATGCAAAATACAACATCATCAATAATGTTCATGCAAAGTTTATCTTCTGTAAGTATGCCCTTGGAATAACAAACTTCTACAAGATCTCATCTCTTCCCAAGACAGACTGATATATTTTAAATATTTAAACAAAAAAATAAGATTCACTATTTTTTAGAGCTTGGCGGACCTTGGAGTTCATCTACTTTATATTTTACAGATTATAAAGTAACTGAGACCCCAAAGATGATCACCAAAAATAGATTCCTTAAGAAAAGTGATTATTTGCTTTCCAGAGAAGGTGATGTAACAATGTGAACACTAAATCTAAAAAATAAATTGCTCATATGGTGGTGTTCCTATGTCTTTTCACAGGGAAGTGAACTGGGTTAATGAGGGATATAACAGGATTGCTTCTCTCTTTTGAGGTAGCTATCCACTCTTATTTTAATTGCACTAATTCTCTTTCCATTGTTTCGCATAGCCTAGACCTTAAAAAGAAAATTCAGGTTCTACCAAGAAACATCAACTAACCCCTGGCTTTGCAGGTTGGGAAACTCAACCTTGTCATCATTATACACCATCTGGCAAGAGACTAGTGTATAAATCCAGAACACCATTTTAAAAATTACTTAAAAAGAGTACTCTGCCATGGGCATCCAATCCTAGCCTCCTTAATCCAGCCCATTTTCTCTCTAAAGTAAACAGCATGGAACAGTCAAGTCCCCATCAGAAGCCTGCTCTGAGAGCATGAAATCTCTCAGAAAGGAGGGACTTAGGTGATATAGGGGTTCAGTGATATCAGCCTTTTTGACTAGATATATCTATCCATCTTCACAAAAAAAACCTGAAGGTCAAGTCTGTGAGTCATCTCTGCTCCGTGGAGCTTAAAGCACCGTGGGCATGTGTCTCTGTGAAGTTATTAGTTCCCACAGCCGACCAATACCCCCTGGATTAACACAGTTGTTTTAGACAACTTTTTTCTTCAGTCTGATTTTAGTCAAGACTGAGTCATTCCTTAAATTTGAAGTGATATTTCTTAGTTTCTTGTCTGATCCATTATGTTTTTAATGTATAGCTTTAGTCTATGAAGCCAGCCTAATTCCATGTATTTCACCCACATTGATGTGACTAGATACTGTCCTTGTGATCTTTTGAAAGACCGACGTGTTACTACCCAGTCAGATAAGCTTTACAATCATCTAACCACGATCATGAAACAGAGAGTTAAAAACAAATAACAAAGAAAGTAGGTTCTACTCCTGTCTCCCCATTCTACTAAGAAACTTGTGTTCTTAAGCAATCATGAACCCTTTGGAGCTTCCATTTCCTCCTCTATGAATTAGAACTGGGACTAAGAGATTCTTCTGGCTCTAAGAGCCCCTGGTTCCATTTAACAGGAAGCAGCCATTCTTCCTAGGAATATAGCATTGGGAATAGCTGGTGACATATTACTTAAAAATGAAAACCACACCTTTAAAAGGGTTGTTAACACAGATCTAGTATTATTAAATGAATTCTACCTATATTTCCAAATAAGGAGAAAGATTGGGAAGTAGATTTAAGTCAATTTTCTCCTTATCCTATTCTTACAGCTATCAATATTTGAACTAGGTCAATGTGTTGACTGATCAATAAAGGAGCAGTAGTCATTAAATATTAGTTCAAGAAATAAGCTGACCAAAATATAATCTCCAAGTGGTGTTTTCTTTAACACAATATCATGCTAAGGAAGGTGGGAGATAGTTTGGGGTGTGTGTGTGTGTGTGTGTGTGTGTGTGTGTTATATATATAGTCTTCTCTCTGTTATCCAAGTGCAAATAAACTATAACAGAGCTTGATCTCAGTACCACAGGGATGCCAGTATTTCAGGCAAAGGGTGCCAAAGGTTAGGTGTATATTTGATGTCAGCTTTGAAGTAAAGAAGAACATTGCTGTGGCACTTATTTCCATGTCTCAGCTCACCTTCCCCTTTCCCTTTAGTTTCTTGAGCACTAGCAGCATGTCTAGCATGACAGAAGAGCTGCAGTCTCTCACAGGCTTTGCTCTTCTTCCAGGTGGTTGAGTTCTGCAACGCAAGTACCCACAACCAAGAAGCTCCAAACCGACAGAACCAAGTGTGCAGCCTCAGAAGTACATGGGACGTAATCTCAGACTCCACTGACTTTCATCACAGCCCTCCCATGAACGGGACTGAGCTCCCACCTCCTCCTACCTTCTCCCTTGTCCAGGCGGGGGACAAAGTGGTCTGTTTAGTGCTGGATGTGTCCAGCAAGATGGCAGAGGTAACATTTTTGAACCACAATGGTTGTAAAACATTCTTCTTTTTTTTCCCCTATCAGTTTTTAATTCTTTTTTTTTTTTCCCCCCCAAAGTCTAAGAGCAGAGGAGGGAGAGGCCGAAAGTTTGGAATAGTCATAGACATCATCTTTTCTTGGGGATAAGAGGAACAAATTCAGAATGTATCCCAGAAATTGAGATAATGCAGATAAATGAAATATATAGATAATTCCTAACCTTTATTTTTATTACTAATTGCAACATTTTCCAACCAAGAACTTTTCTAAAACTCTTACATGTAATGAAAGGCTCTGATCTGTCCATATTCCACTCACTAGGAAAGATTCTTGGTGGAGGCAAGAGACTGTGAATTGGCAGTGAACGTGAATATCCATTATGTGTACATTTTCCATGTCACTGTGGACAGAAAACCATATCTCGGTTGTCTGACTATCTAGCAGCCCTCCAGAAACCCACTCTACAAAGCGCCAAAACTCTCAGATACTAGCTTGTCTTAGTCTCTGAAAGATCTACTTCCTACCCTTTTGCAAAAAAATGTCCACTGACCCCTGATCTATGCTCCTGAGGTAATTTCTGCTCTATTATATAGCTGCATGGGTCTGCCACACATCTCTTCCAACTGTGCATTCAGTGACATCACGTGGATGGCTTAAAACAGCCTCAGTGGAAGGAGAAATTGTCAACTGCAACAAATCAGGGTTTTCCACTTTCTCTCCTCTCTTTCTCTCCTCTTTCGCTCTCTCTCTCTCTCTCTCTCTCTCTCTCTCTCTCTCTCTCTCTCTCTCTCTCTCTCACACACACACACACACACACACACACACACCCACCCCAGAAAGCCAGTTTTTAAACATTTACCAGCACACCACTATCTACTTCATAGGGTTGTTGAGGTGAAATAAATGAAATAATATTAAGTTTTTGGTTCATAACTGGTAGCTATTATTTTATAATCATATTTGTTCTAAGGGAGAGTTTATTGTCTGCATCAGTAGTCCTAGAAAATTTGCCTTTCCTGGCTGGTCTCTGAAATATTAGGAACACTACTAATACATTAAGCTTCTAGGTAATTTTGCACACTTGCCTACCTGTAGTTTGACAAGGGCACAATCTTCTCAAATATGGCCTCAGGGTAATTTATATCAGCTATCTGCCTGTGTTGAGTAAGCATGGATTTAGTGAAAACTAAAGATAGTTGTACTTGAAAGAAGAGCTGAAAGAAGCAGATGAGAAATAAGCCTAAAATAACAATCTCATGGGAAAGCCAACTTCCCTTCCTTTTCCTGATAATACTATCATTGATATTAATCTACTTACCAGGGGCCTCTATACCATGCTGGTTTGGGAGATACAGAAATGACAGAATAGAGTTTCTGCTTTGAAATACAACGTAGTGAGGGAGATGTGACATGTGGGAATAAATACGATTGAGTGTGAAGAAGCTCCACAGAGTTGTGAAGCGGCACCTAGTTCTGTAGAAGAAAGGGACTGAGGAAGACTTCACTGAGCAAGGGACCTTAGCCTTGAACCTTGAAGGGTGTGAAAGTACCTGCTAGGTTGGGTGAAGTGAGGGAAGTGGGGGGAGGGAGGACATCCCAAGGTAGGGAAGAGTATGTACAATGACTGAGAGGCAAAATTAGAAGGATTTGTGCAGGGAATGGGTATCAACTGGTATGATTATAACTGACATTGGGTGGCTCTGATGAACTGGCAGATAAGATGGAGATGTGGTATGAATTTGAGAGAAACTGAAGACATCGAGTTGATAGGATATGGTTAAGGATGTGGGGGCTGGCTGGTAACAAGGGACAATAAAGGAGAGTTCCAGCTTGCTCATTTAACTTGTTAGGAGTAGAGGCCATCATTGAGAATAATGAGATGATGACTGTGATGTGAGCAAGAGCAAATTTACTAAGTGGTTACTATGTATCCATTTTGCAGATAGAAAACTGAAGCTAAAAAAAAAAAATAAGTATTTCTCTCTGGTCACATAGTTAGCAAAAGTTGAAGGCAAGTCCTTGTTTTATTCACTCTACTAACTTACCTCTCAATATTGTAAGAGAAATAATAGTTGGGAAAGAAGGCAACGAAGTCAAAGTGTGTAGAGTTTGTGATGTCAGGGGGACATTAAATTGGTGATGTCTCTATTAAGCAGTGCGAAGTGCAGGTACAGATAGATGTTGAGAGAGATGCCTGGGTTCTATCGATAGATGGAGACCACGGTTATCTCTGAACAGGTTGTCCCTGAAGCTCAGCTTCTGGTTCCAGCCATCGAAACAAGTGACCCTAATGAATTCATTAGCATCATCCCCTGCCAAATATGATTCATTGATCAGGGGTGTGGCCTGGCCACTAAATATTTTAAAGCTCCCCATTTGATTCTAATATGAGCCATAGTTGAGAACCACTGTTCTAGGGCCCTTATTGGCCCTTATTGCCCCAGACGGGTCACTAATATTACTTTATACTTGGTTAGTAGTTCAAGGAGTAATGGTACAGTTGTACATAGATGTCAGTTGAACCTCACAGCAATTCTATTTTAGGAGGAAATACATTATTTTTCCATCCTCTACAAATGATGTGCCCAGCCTAAGGTGAACATTATAACAGAAGTCAGTGCCAGGACAGATACTTCTGAGTGCCACTCTCCACTTCTTTTCAATATTTTCTCTTATGAAGATTGAATTTTAAAAGAAACAGCTGAGTTTTAAAGGAATTCTGAGTTGGAGAGAAATAGCGAGGATGTGTATTCTGAGAGTGGTAATTATGAACAGCTTGTCAGAGAAGGAATTCCAAACCACACTCTCCTCCCAGAAAAGCATTAGTTTTTGAGCCTGCAGTTGATCTAACAATATTTTAGCATGGTGTCACTCTTTGCAAATCAAAACCCTAAAGAATTAGCAGAAATCTTTGCTCATTAGGTAACTTAATCAGACTTTTGTTTGCCAACCAAATATTATTACCTTTTTTTTCTTTTGGGGACATAGGCAGACAGATTCCTTCGACTGCAACAAGCGGCAGAATTTTACTTGATGCAGATTGTTGAAAGTCATACCTTTGTGGGCATTGTCAGTTTCAACAGCAAAGGAGAGATCAGATCCCAGCTACACCAAGTTAGCAATGATGATGACCGAAAGCTGCTGGTTTCACACCTGCCTGCCACTGTGTCAGCTGATGCAGAAACCAGTATCTGCTCGGGGCTTCAGAGGGGATTTGAGGTATAGAACCCCAAGTCTGGGATCACTATCACATTCCTTTCCTTTGTTTTGTTTTTTTTTGTTTGTTTTGTTTGTTTGTTTTTGTTTTGTTTTTTTATCCGATTTGGGCTTATCTGTTAAATGTGGTTGTATGGCCTCACTTTAGGAGAGCAATGATGGATCATCGTTAAGGCCAGGAACCATGTCCTGTTCACCATTGTAGTCCCTGTGCCTAACAAAGTACCTGACATGTAATAGTTGCTTAATAACTGCCTGTTGAAAGGAGGAGTAAATAAATGAAAAGAATAGCCCAGGTGGGGAATTGTCAGCATCATCTGGACACTTGCTGAAACTGTCCCTGTCAATTCTGGGACTATCCTAGCTATGGCCATTGGGTTTTCCAGTCAAAATCAGCATATCTGGCTCCTGCCTGCAGTCATATCGGACCTCAAGCATATAAAACTCAAGACCAGAGATATGTTTCAGGAATGTTAGAGTTCATCTAAATTAGCATAAGTTTGCATTCAGTGTCTGGGATGCAGCGATCAATCAAACATCTGGTATCAAGCAAAGTACATCAATCGCCATTGTTGCTGCCTATAGGCAAATATTGCTCCACTTTGGCTACCCGTTGAATTGAAATTATGTGGGAGTTAAAAAAAACCCTGATGTCTAGGTCTCATCTCCAGAGAGTCTGATTTCATTGATCAGGGGTGTGGCCTGGCCACTAAATATTTTAAAGCTCCCCATCTGATTCTAATATGAGCCATAGTTGAGAACCACTGTTCTAGGGCCCTTATTGGTCTCTCACTGGATCTCAGAGGCCAGATCTCACAGGGTCAAGTTCCCTCATATCCCCCCTGGGGGACTTTATTCTGAACTAGTGGCACATCATGGTGATTGGAACAGAAAGAGTCCCTGTGCACAAGCAAACAGGCAGGGTTTGTAGGGTGGCAGGTGCTGGTGGGGTGGTGAGGACTAAACGGAGATGGGCATGGAGTGCAGGTGCCACAAAGGACCTCAGAGAGGCATGTGCCCACTGGTGGGGAATTTCGGAATGAACTTTCCTGCTCAATAAGACAATTTGATTTATATTTCTTTCCGAATGACCGATACTCCCTGTTCAGGTGGCTGAGAAACTGAACGGAGAAGCCTCCGGCGCTGTGTTGATATTAGTGACCAGCGGGCATGATGAGCATATCAGCAGCTGCTTGCTCACTGTGCTCAGCAGGGGTTCGACCATTCACACCATTGCCCTGGGTGCCTCTGCGGACAAACACCTGGAGGGACTTGCACAGCGTACAGGTAAATGAATTCCTAGAAATTTACATTTTAGAGTATTTCCTCTCAATTTGAGTATTCAAAGCACAGCAGTGAAACCAGATTATGTCAGCAGAATACATGGCGGAACTGAAAAAAATACAACCGCTTTCTTAAGGAAAAATACACACGAAGCGTTGCTAAAAGTTCCCTGAATTTTGCTGAATATTTTTTCCCCATTTTACTTAAAAGGCGACAATTATACTCATCCAATGAAAATTTTTTTTATAATTTCTTTGTTAAACTAGCCTGAGCATGTATGATCAGGGAACTAAAAATATGTTTAAGACGAAATGCATTACCTTCTATGATAAAGACACATGTAATATTGTAAGCCACATGTCTTTTTCTAAATGAGGCACAGAATAATCTTATCTTATATTCTTATATTCAATAAAAATGAGTATGCTGACTTGAAAACTGAAAATTAAGTCTTACTGAATTACTTTTGAAAATGACATTTTCAAAGTGCAAATATAAATATATAGGAGAGCAGGCAGGGACAATTGGCAGGGGAGCAATTAGGTGTTGATCAGGCTGGCAGGGGAGTGGTTACGGGGTGATCAGGCTGACAGGCAGAAGTGGTTAGGGGCAATCAGGCAGGTAGGAAGGCGAGTGGTTGGGAGCCATTAATAATGTTGGGAGACATTAATAAATCAGACACTAGCTCATAATTAACCTAGATTATCCAGGAATTGTATTCATTATAAGACTAATAAACATGTATTCATTGAGTTTTTACCATGTGTGGATTAGAGTTCTAGACCCTCACATTACATCTGTGGACAGAAGAGACAAAACCAGCCCTTTGTGCTGCTCCCTGTGTGATTGTGAGAGCGCCATGTCAACAAATCAAGCACTGCCCCTAGTTATCCCGAACCAACCCTCTTATACAAAGAAAAGTTGTTGGAAACATCCTAGATTTTATTTTTGTATTCTTGTCATATGTTTTAAGAGTTAACATCCAAATCATGTATTTCAGGAGGTTTAAAGTTCTTTGTCCCAGATAAATCAACCTCCAATAGCATGATTGATGCTTTCAGCAGAATTTCCTCGGGAACTGGAGACATTTTTCAACAATGTATTCAGGTCAGAATCTTCTCAATGTTATAGTTACAGCTGGCGGCGGGGGGGGGGGGGGGGGGGGGGGGGGGGGGGGGGGAGTAGGGGGAGAGACAAGGAAAACAGATGAATTGGGTTAATTGCCTCAATCACTTTATTTGATTATGTAATGAACTTCCTGGAATCACCGGAGCCAGGCTTCATTTCTACCTGATGTCTGTTACTTCCCAGCCCTGGGAGTCATTTTCTGTAATTGCTTTTCAAGGTCTATAAGCAGACTATTGCTCCTTCCTCATGGCTCAAAATGAGGGTGGGGGTGGGGATGCAGTGGAGGTAAGGCCCAGAAGGAAAATTAAAAACGATGTATTTAGTTTCAGTTCCATAATAACTTTTCATAAATCAGAATCCATTTTACTTTAGCTTATCCAAAAACTTTTTTGAAGCTCCTCTCAAATATATAAAAAAATCAACTATTCCATTAAATTCTAAAAATTCCTAAATATCTTTTTTAAATTTTATTTTATTATTTAAACTATTACATATAGTAGTACATATATCTCCTTCCCCCCCACATAGATCTTCCCCCAGCCTCCCCTACCCCCTTGTCACCTGCCCTCCTAAGCATCTTTTTAAAAACCACAGTTTGATTTTGCTCACAAAAGCATTCTCTAATCAAGCTCATTTTTAAAAGGGCCCACATTTTTCTTCTAAGTAAATTTTGAACATAGCTGAACAAAATTTCAGCTGCTGTCTCCTCACAGGTGGTAAGTGAACCTGCCAAGTTAATGGCTTTACATGAAGTCAGTAAATTATTCTTAGGAAATTTTTAACATGATTATATGTACACAGTAGAGGCAATAACCATCATTCCATGATTAGAAGTAAAAAAGGGAGGGTGGGTTGGGGGTTATCTGTAATACTGTCAACAATAAAAAAAAAATTAAGAAGTGAAAAAAGGTGAATTAAAAATGACAATATTTATTAGCCTGCAATTAGCTTTCTGAATGATCTTTCTACCTGTAATTTCCACTTTAAAAATTCTATCTAATGAAGAGGTAATATGCAAATTGACCATCACACCAACACACAAAGTAGCTGCCCCATGTGGACACAAGATGGCCAGCAGGGGAGGGCAGTTGTGGGTGATCAAGTCAGGAGGGGAGAGAAGTTGGGGGGTGGGAGGGACCAGGCCTGCAGGGGAGGGCAGTTGGGGTAACCAGGCTGGAAAGGGAGGGCAGTTGGGTGCAATCAGCAGGGGAGCAGGTAGGCATCAATCAGGGCTGACAGGAAAGTGGTTAGGGGGTGATCAGGATGATAGGCAGAAGCAGTTAGGAGCAATCAGGCAGGCAGGCTGGCGAGTGGTGGGAGCCAGCAGTCAGACATCCCTCAAGGGATCCCAGATTGGAGAGGGTGCAGGCTGAGCTGAGGGATACCCTCCCTGCATGAATTTCATGCACCGTGCTTCTAGTCCTATACATTAAAAAGGTAATATGCAAATTGCTCCCTCCACTCAGAGTTCTACCAGAGTTAGACCAGGGGGCAGGGCCAGTCCCTAACCACCCAGGTCCCCTCCCCCTGACTTACCCCACCCCAAGCACCCCTCACCCCAATCGAGGCCAAGGCTGGCCACCCAACCTCCATGTGCCCTCCCCCTGACCCGCCCAGCCTTATTGGCTATGATCAGTGCTGGTCAGCTGGACCCCATCTGTACATGAATTTATGCACCAGGCCTCTAGTATGAAACAAAAACAAATATATTAAAAAGTAACAAAATATTATTTATATGTCTCAAATCAAACTTATGTTCCCAGATTTGGCCACCTCTCCCCACTTGCTTTTGTCATTAGCCCCAGTAGACTGTGAGCAGAAACCACATCTAACCTCCTCCAATAGTTCAGGGCCCAGCACAGAATATGGTATAGAGGTCAGCAGGTCACAAACACTTGTTAAACTGATTTTAGCAAATAGTCCACAATGTCTCTGCTGTCATCCACCAAAAAAGGTTTATATGCTTTCCAAGACTGAGAATTTTACAGTGTTACTAATGTATTTCTTAAATAAATATAATTTCTCAAAGTTATTTATAAACTTGTATCTATTGTGACTACACAATGATTAAATGCTGTTGTGTAACACTTGTATTAACTGTAACAAAATGTTTTATATCTACTGTACTTATATAATACACTATATTTTGCTTTGGCAACAGATTTTTACATGAAAAATGATTTATGCAAATATAATACATGTTAGCATTAAGTGATTATTGTTTACTATTCATTTTTGTCACAAAGGAAAAAGATGGAATGATTATGCATACACTAGAAACTTCCATAATACATATTTTTTATGTATTCTTTTGAACAGCTTGAAAGTGTGGGTGAGAATGTTAAACCTCACCATCAATTGGAAAACACAGTGACTGTGGATAACAGTGTGGGCAATGATACTACCTTTCTAGTCACATGGCAGACCAGCGGGCCCCCTGAGATTGAACTGTTTGAACCTCATGGGAGAAAATACTACACACATAACTTTACCGTCAATCAAGCCTTGAGGGCTGCGCGCCTCCAGATTCCAGGAACTGCTAAGGTAGGTGTCCCGAGCTTGTTCATAATGACAACACTTAGTCAAGTAAATGACTTTCCGTTGAATCACCTAATTAAATGCCTTGTGTAAAGGAAATCCTATTCTGATATAGCAAAATTTTACTATAAATTTATGAGGGCATTTTGTGAATGCTAAAATTTTAAGGAGGAACAATTAAAGTATGTTCAAACCTTTAACAAAGGAAATTAGTATGTATGCAGTAAAAATAATTTATTTTTGCTTACTTCCTTCTTTACAAAATCTACATAAACATACCTATCTGTACACTTAGAAAAAGTCCTCTACTTAGAATTTATAATATGAATACATGCAATACATATTTTTTGAGCACTTACTTTGTATTGAGTCTTGTTTTAGGTGCTTCATAATAAAATGCCATGCTATGAATCAGAACAGGGTTCTCAGAGCACACAGGAGGGATATGCAGATGGCATGGGGTGTGGGGGTGGGGAGAATGCTTCCTGAAGTGAAAATATAAAACTGGAAATACGGAAGATAAAGGGGGCAAAGGTGTGAATGACATTCTGAGCAGAGTGAACAGCACACAGAAAGGCTCAGAGAAAAGGAATACAGCTCTTCGTGGAACTACAAGTTGTTCAATATGGATGAGCTACTGCGTAGCATGTAAGGTGGGGATGTAGGGGAAGGAAAGTGGAGGGGGTGATGAGACTAGACAGATACACAGGAGCACATCAGCAAGGACAGGAAAGGGGGTAGGAGTTTGAAGGGAACAGAAGATTGAATTCTGCAGGGTGGTGAATTGACCAGAATTACTCCTGCACTACCTGAATGCCGACCCAGCCTCATAACTGGTGGCTCTCCCTCCCCCCAGCCTCTGCTCAGTCTCCCTGCCTCTGGGCTAGCCTTCATCATCCCTGTCAGGTGATCCTTCTGAAGCACAAACCTTCCTCCTATTCAAAACTCTTTGGTGGTCCCAGGATAAAACCCATGTGGTTACTTTTATATACCAAGGCCTTCATATTCCAGCTTCTGCCCAAGTTCTCCCAAACATCCTGTGCTCTGTTCCTACTTAACTTTTCTTCAAGCTCATCATGTTCTTTACACACCTGTGCACAAGGGCCAGAAATACTTGACCTACTTCTCGCTGCCTTTGCCCAACCTCTTAGTCTGCATTAGGTGCCCTATAAAGCCTATATGAATACACTTATTATACCCAAGGAGAAGTTTTTGATGTGGAGTTTCCTGCTGTGTATCTGTTACTAATTTTATGGTTACAATAAAGATATGTAGACAGCTATAAATGATCTTGATGTCTGAAATGTGACTTCCCTGGCAAATGGTAAAGCACCTGGGTCTCACAAAGAAGGCTGGATAAGGTGTGTTGTCTTACCTTTCCACACTGAGTCACAGTCACACCCCAAGCCATTGCTTCCTCTCTTGTTCCTCCTGCTCAATTGTGTTCCAACTCTTACTTCCAGGGTTTAAGGAGCAGCAGCAGGAAAGAGAGGAAAAGGAGCATTTATGTACAGTTTAATCAAAAGAACAAAGTTCTGCTATATTGAAGTTTAAGCTTCTTTTTCCAGACATTATTTTGTATGTTTCCCCTGCCTCCCCTCCTCCCACCCTCATAGTTTAGACAAGCAAAAGAGGATGACATTTAGCAATATTTTAATAAATTACTCAACAAGATGTTATCGAATCCTGACCAATTAAAAAAGAGTATTCCTTTTCTTCGTCCCTAACAGTGTATGTGAGTTTTGCTGCTTGAGATTTGGGGGTATATTGAGGTTTGGGGGAAGTGGAGGCAAGGCTGGATACTATTGCCTTTAGGAAAGGTTATTTGTGTAAATCACAAGTGTCTGCTTAATCTACTGTAATTGTCTCCTTTACATAAAAGGAATAAAAACATTGACTATCCTTTTGGGTGAAGGGGCCCGGATTAATATTTGCAAAGTACTTTGAAGCTTTGACACACTGTTATCATCTTCTAAAATGTGACTCAGGATGTGTTCTCCTCAACAGATAAATTCAGGGCATAATTCCTTAAAGAGGTACAGAATTATGTAAATGGGTTGTGCTGTGAGCACCATATAGATACTGAATTTTAAGCAATATTCCTGACATTCTTTTGTAGTATTTTAGAAAATGCAACATCAATAAGATAAGAACAACAACAAAAAATACCTCTAGGATCCTAGATTTATGGTTTAAAATTAAGGGTTTACCTTGTTCTTCACACCTGACAAAGCAGAATCCCTTTGTTTTGTAGCCTGGGCTTTGGACTTACACCCTGAACAATACCCACCATTCTCTTCAGTCCTTGAAAGTGACAGTGACCTCTCGTGCCTCCCACTCAGCCGAGCCTCCTGCTGCCGTGGAGGCCTTTGTAGAAAACGACAGCACCTCTTTTCCACACCCCATGATGGTTTATGCCAATGTGAGAAAGGGGTTTTACCCCATTCTCAATGCCACTGTAACTGCCACCATTGAGCCAGAGACTGGAGATCCTGTTACGCTGACGCTTTTTGATGATGGATCAGGTAACAAGCAACGTCATGTCACTTTCCATGCGCTCAGGAGCTGCTGTGATGCTGCAGTATCCTTATCCAGCTTATCTTTAATATTCTTTCAATTCAATCGTTTTGCTCACTCAATCTTGTGAGGTTCTCAAATTCTCATAGAATCACTGATCTACAAAGTAGCTACAGGTTCCATTTGCACAAGGAAAGCAAATGTGAACTTGGAAAAGGGGAGTATCCATGAAGCTCTACCGAGTGTCTGTGTGTGAACAAACTGGTGGAGAGCCGCTTGATAGGTCTTGGCTTCTACCTGCCCAGTGGAGCTGGCCACACTCAGTGAGGTCACACAAGAGCAGGTTCTGTGTCCTTATGACATGCCCACATTCTGCCCAGACTCACCAGCTTCACTATTCACTGAACTCATCAGATGGGACAATTAAAAGAGCAAATGAAACCCCAAGAAGGGGGATGCGATGACAGTGAGTCCATTTTTCTCTCCTTGAACGAACCCAATAGCGAAGAGAAAATTGCAAGTTGAACTTGTAACCCACAAGATGACCCTGGACACTTTCTTTAGCCGAGTAGCTGGGTCACTAAGAGGACATGGCCAGTGACTTTTGCACATGTGATTTGGTCACAAGATGGCCAAACCAGCAAGCCTAGTGGAGTCCAGATAGAGATTTTGCCACTTCTGGGGAAATACAGTAAAGCAAAACAAAACCCTGCTTTAAGGCACTCACCCAGCACGGGGAAAGTTCAGGGCTTCCTCCTCACACAGACAGCACATATCCAGCTGGCAAACGGCAGCTTCGGGGGCTCTTCCTGGTGAACTTTTCTGACTTCTAAAAACAAACTCCTTAGCTCTTTTACCTTTCCTGTTCTGTTTTTTGTTTTGTTTTGTTTTGTTTTGTTTTTTCCCCTAAACTAAATTCTCAGAATGACAATAGACCTCAAGTCTATGTTAGCAACACCAAGTGTATGATCTACTGATAAAATCATGTCCCTTCCCTCTATTGTTTCAGAGAAAACCCATTACAATGTTGCCATGGCAATCTTGTATGCCATTTATGAAACCAACATCCATTTAAAGGATTTTAGTTCAAGTCTACCTCAGAGGGATACCAGAGAAGTCCTCCTGTTTTGTCCGTTGAAATGGACCCAAATGACCTTGCAAACCCTTCATTGCTTACCCGTGGCCACACCTTTCAGATTTTGTATAGAGTCCAGAAATGCACTTTGCAGAATGTCCCCACTTTGCCCAGCCGGTAGGCTGGCCTCCAGAAGGACGTTATCTCAGGAAAGATCACTTGAATATACTCAATAGGCTTTAATATTTATTCCCTTGGAACCATTTTATTTGGTGTCTAAATTTATACTCTAATGAAAGAAACAATGAAAAAAAGATTGTTTAGGCATTAACGTGTCAATTTAGACTGTTTTTCCTTAGTACACATGTATTGTCTAATACTTATTTTTATATTGGAAGTGGTATTTATCTGCTAAATAAAATTGAAAAATAAACCATGGCTTAGAGAAATTTTCCATTATCATTTCTACACAAAGATAGGCCTTACTCATCATTAAGTCACTAGTCAGTACACAAAACAATTTCTAAACCTACTATGAGCATAAGTTGCTTAGCGCTTTTTATTTTAATTAAATATAATCTTACTTTTCTCGGGCTAAGGAGCAGCCCTCCCTCTGCCGAAGGGACTCTAGAACACTCACTTCGGTGAAGAGGCAGGGACAGAGTGCGGGCTGGGTGTGTGGTGTGGGAGCAGGACAAGCTGCTTGGCCAGTGTGGCCACGACGCTGGCACAGGGAATGTGATCCGCACTCGGGCTGAGCTGTACCTCCCTGCTGCCCTGGCATCTAGGACTTCCTGCCACTCAGTCCTGGACTTGGTTTGGAACTGAACTGCTCTCTGAGGGTCCATGCAAAAGGAGCAGAGTCCAGCACAGGCCAAGCTTTCAGGTTGTCTCCTGAAGCAAGGCGCCAGTGGGTGGAACCAAACCCTGTCAAACGCCAAGTCAGTGAGCCCCTTCTGATCAGAACAACAGTCCCATGTACCCTCTAAGGAAAAAGTTAAATGATTTCACACTTTTTAAAACCAACTACAAATATTTTTTTCATAGGGATATTTTTCTTTTTTTTAAATAAGGGCTTCAAGGATATTCATAAACTCCTTGAAATTATGTGAAAATATACATATATGCATGTATATTAATTTCCTCAGAACAGATCACTTTTAAAAGGATCTATGATTGTAAATAAGCTTTAAAATATGCTTGGTTTCTGTGGGGGACTAGTATTATTCCGGGATAGGAAGGAGAGTTCTAAAGGTGATAATTAAATGCTTTCTTAGCACTGAAGCAGGTACAATTCATTTACCTTTAGAAAATAATTTTTCATAGATTAAGGAAGCACAGAGAGAAATTATGGAGCCACTGGATTTTTAATCACCTGAAGATATCAAAAATAGTTATGACCATTACATCATATGCTAAATTGAGAAGAATAAGGAGAGTGAATCTTATTTCTTTTTCAACATATTTTATTGATTTCAGAGAGAAAGGGAGAGGGAAAGAGAGACAGAAACATCAATGATGAGAGAGAATCATCAATCAGGGCTTCCTGTTGTATGCTCCCCCCAACCCCACCCCCACCCCTCCAATGGAGATCTAGTTCGTGACCAGGTCATGTGCCGTGAATCATTCAGTCTGCAGGCTCATTTACTCTATCCATTTAGCCACACCAGCTAGGGCATGACTTATTACTTAATGATTTAATTAAATATTATTATTCAGCTGTGATGACATGTTGACATTGAGGGTTTTTTTTGTTTTTTTGTTTTTGTTTTTTTTTTTGTATACCTACAGGTGCTGATGTTATAAAAAATGATGGAATTTACTCGAGGTATTTTTTCTCCTTTGCTGTAAATGGTAGATATAGCTTGAAAGTGCATGTCAATCACTCTCCCAGCATAAGCACCCTAGGCCACCACTCTTTTCCAGGGAGTCATGCTAAGTATGTACCAGGTTACATAACGAATGGTAAGAATCATTAGCACTGCTATTTGAGTAACATCATATAATGTGTATATAACTGATAAGTGTGTGTGTGTGTGTGTGTGTGTGTGTGTGTGTATACTTTATACTTAAGTCAGTGCATAAGTTGTTGACTATCTCTTTACCCTTCAAAGGTTCATGGTAGTAGATCACAGGAAGCAGATAGGTAATTACCACAGATGTCTCCTACCTCCATTTCAGTCACTATTTTGACCTCCTTCTTGTGACTGTTTCATCAGAATTACTAAAAGATAAAGAAATTTATTGAGTTTTCTCAGTTCCAGCTCCTGCATTTCCTCTACAGAGGTTTAGGCAGGGGAAAGAGGCGCTTAGTAGTTAGGAGTTAAAAGAGGGAAGCAAATAACCCAAACAATCCACACAGGAAATGAGTTCCTGAAAAAATAAGAGTTTGGATATTACAAACAACTGGGTGCTTCCTGACGATGCTATGTCTTCCTTCAAGATAAAAGGGCCAGATAAATAGAAGATCCACATCTTTTCAACACCATTATTATAGTTCCTGATAGGAAACAGTGAATAAGTATAACAAATAGAAATATGCTACATTATTTTATAAAATAAATCTTAGAAACATTTCTAAGTCTGTTTATTTTCAAAACTGCAGAATGTTTATGAATACTTTCCATGTATTTTATCAGCTATAATGAATTATTTTGTATCTAAATACAGTACTTCATTTGTAAGTAGATATTCTCTCTTTCATTTATAAATCAAAGATTTTTGAAGACCTACCAGGTGACAGGCTCAGTCCTAGGATCTTGGGATACCAGGTAGAATAAGACTTGATTCCACTCAAGGAGTTTACAGGTTACTGACGGGGTCTGAGAATCTTTTTAGAACACAAACGCTTAAAGGATAAAAATATCATCATCTCGTGGATAGTGAGATTAGAAAAGTAATATTCACCTGTGTTTTTGTCTGTGTCCTTCTTACGGGCCCTTGATAGCATAGAAAGAAAAGTTAGGGTTCCCTAGACATGGCTGCCATACACAATATTCACTTTATCAGCTAATTTTCAGAAGATGACCTTGAGCACACACTTCACCAAAAAGTGAGAGCTGCTGTTTACACCACCCAATCTCCAGACACAATAGCATCTGCTCCTTTCCTTCTCCCCAAGGGCTGGCTCTGCCTCGTGTGTGCTCCACTCATCCCTCTGAGCAGCAGTCAATCATGGTTTGTTACGTCCCCTTTTAAAATACTTTTTATTGGTCCCTCTTCAGCGACTGTCCACCTTTCTAGTCCCCACTTTCGGGTTCCTTGAAGTAAACCTACCATCTCTACTTTCTCACCTCCTATTTACTACTCTGTTCACTGCAATGAATTCCATTCGAGTCACTCTCCTATTTAAATCACTCCACTGGACTAGCTCTGGCCCTAGTCACCAATAACCTCACCACTGTTAAACTCAAAAAACACAGTTCAGTCTCTTTTTACCTGACTTTAGCAGTATCTGACACAACTGATCAATTTCTCTTTTGTCATTTCCTGGTTTCTCTGATAGGACACTCTCTTGATTACCTCTTATGCTCCCGAATTCCCTTCTGTGGGACTTTGGGCAAGTTACTTAATTCCTGTGTACTTCAGTTTCATCATTGGTAAAAATGAGGGTAATAATTGTACCCTACACATAGCATTGCTAGGAAAATTAAATATTTGATACACATCAGATACATGTTAAGCCAGGCACTCAATAAATGCAATTTATCATTATAGTTGAAATCTTATTAGATAGCCTCCTTAATCCATATAGCTTTAATAATATCTATATGACTATAACTTCCAAATTCATAACTTCTAAATTATTAAATCCAGCTAAAACCTCTTTGGGAGATTAAAATCCATCTCTAACTGACTGACACTTCAATGAGATGTTTTCCAGGAATCACAAACCTTGTAAAATTTACAGTTTTAGTCTGCTTCTCCTCCCAAGTAGCTCACTCTTTTTTGTTGTTGTTGTTTTGTTAATCCTCACCTGAGGACATTTTTTCCTTTGGTTTTTTTTAAAGAGAGAATAGAAGGGAGGGAAGAGGGAAGGGGAGAGAGAGAGAGACATCGATCTAGAGAGACACATCAATAGTTATCTCCCACACAGGCCCCTACCAGAGTCAGGATTGAACCTGTAAGCCAGGTACATGCCCCAAACTGAATCGAGCCTGCAACCTTGGATGTGTGGGCTGACTCTGCAACCACTGAGCAACTGAGCCAGGGCCAAAGTAGCTCACTTTAAAACCTGGGAGCTACTTTGTTGTTGTTGTTCACCAGTTTTCTCTTTTTGACACATTCAAACCCACCACCAGCTTTTGCTGATTTCATCTCCAAAATACACCTCAAACTGCCTTCTACTTGCCTCCTCTCCACTGCTCTCGCCCAGCCCGACCTGCTATTTTTTCTCATCTGGACTGTTGGCAATGGCCATCTCAGCGGCCTCTTTACTTGCTGTGCTTGAATCCATTCTCCCGCGAGAGCAGCCAGAGGGACCTGTTGGAGGACAACTGTGATGGTGTTACTGCTCGGCTTCTGCAGCATGTAACACTAAACTTTAAAACCACGACATGGCCCACGGATCCTGCATGAAGTCTTCTCCTGTCTCATCTCAAACTACTATCCTCCTCACCTTAATTAAGTTTTTCTAACCTGCATATCTCTTCTTCACCTCAGACTTTTACACAACCTCTTCCCTCAGCTTAGGACATTCTTACCTCCACTCTTTACCCAGCTGACACATACTCATACTTTAGGAAACCTCTAAACATAACTTCCTTGACAACACTCTAAATTATGTACTTGTTTTATTTTATTTTATAGTCCCCTGCTTTTTTTTCTTCTTACCTTTTACACAATTTATAAATATATGTTTATTAGTATGACTATAAATTCCATATGGTGCTGCTTTGTCCATTATTACTGGCACAGGATATGCCCTCAAAGTAGTTATTGAATGAATGAATGAATGAATGAATAGATGAATGAATGAATTGTGGACTAAACATACTCAGTTGTTCTAAAAATGTAGTAAAGAAAAAAAGTTTTAAAATATCAACTATCGGTCAAAAACAAGCTATTCAGGAGGTTGTAATTTGTGGGGGTTTTTTTCTCTTCTTTTCTTCGCTGTCCCAGGTAATATTCAGATGAATGTCCTAAGAACATCAGTGGGCAGGAGGGAGGAGGAGCAAAAGTGGGGCTTCAGCAGAACAAGCTCGGGGGGCTCCTTTTCCGTGCTGGGCGTTCCGGCTGGCCCCCACCCTGACATGCTCCCACCGTGCACCATTACAGACCTGGAAGCTGCACAGGGGGAAGAGGAGGTGACCTTGTCTTGGACAGCGCCTGGAGAAGACTTCGATCAGGGCCAGGGTAGGTTTCTTGGTTTCATTACCTACTTTTCTACCAGGAGGCATTTCTAATAATGACATCAGGTGTTAAATGAATAAGAATGACATTGGGAGTTTAGAGATGACAAAGGGACAGAGGTTTGTCATGAACATAGTGGAGTCCGGGAATGAGAGTGTGCCAGCTCCCCCTGGATTGAAGAGGCCTTTCATACACTGATCAGCGCTAATCAAACAGAAATCTTGACTGGAATCATGAATACCACATGCAATGGTGGTCTTATCAGCAGAAACAGAATCTGTATCACAGAGCATGGACTGTGGGAAATTAGTTTTCTGAAGATTGGACAGTGACTCCTTGCTCAGATTTAGAAGATGGGTTTAAGACAATTTCCCTAAGTCACATAAACTTGGCACATTTGCCTCTCCCACCTCTGGCCATCATTTTGTTAGGAAGGCTGGGACCATTTCCCTGGCTTGGGCTTTCTTACCTTGCTTGGGCAAATGTTGATGAAGTTCTTTTCTAACTTTCTAGCATTCAGGCTCCCACCTACCTCATCTTTTGATCTCCAAAGTAATTCAACAGAATAACTTTTCTCAAAAAATAATCCTTCCAATCATTTTGCCATCTCATACACACAAAAAGTTATCACTGATTACACATTAAATGGTTTATTTCCTGATGCCTCTGATTGGAAGCTTAGAAAAGCCAATTTCATTGGCTGCTGGTGTGTTGTTGTTGTTTCAATATCTGACAATAATAGTGACCTTCTTGGACCTTTGCCAGTCTTGCTTCCAACTTTGACCATCTTTTTTTGGCTTATAAGTCTCTGTTTACTACACTGCTGAAAAGCATCAATTACAAATAATTCTGTGCCTCTGAGAAATAGTCAATATTGTTGGTTTATCCTCTATTATTTTATCAAAATATCTGTTCTTGCCAGAGAAGAAAGGAATGAAACTGTGGGATGGACAGCCCCTTATATAGTGGAAATAGCTGTAACCTAGATGTAAGAGGGAAAAATCATTCCCACTCTGGCTGTAAGTTTGGCTGTTTCACCTTGGGCAAGTCGAGTAAATTCTATTGGCCTCGGTTTCCTTATGTGGAAAAGAGGCCTAGAGCTATCTATTTCGTAAGGCATTTCATAAGAAATGAAATAAACATATGAAATCAGAAAAGAAAATGTGCCCAATAAGTTCCTTGGGCTACTAGTTTGCATTGCTGGAGACTTCTCCAGTTTCTTATTTGGAGTAAAGGCCACAAACACTTAATCCCATTTCTATTTAAAGATAAGAGTGAGACCAGCTGGTGTGGCTAAGTGGTTGAGCATCAACCTATGAGTCAGTAGGTCATGGTTCAATGCCCAGTCAGGGCACATTCCCAGGTTGCAAGCTAGATTCCCCAGTGTGGGGCATATAGGAGGCAGCCAACCAGTGATTCTCATCATTGATGTCTTTCTCTCTCTCCCCCTCTCCCTTACTTTCTGAAATCAATAAAATTATATCAAAAAATAAATTAATAAAGGGAAGAGTGATGCCTGATATCTAGTATTTCCCCATTTTCTCACTGCCCTCCAAAGCATAGTAGTGTGTCAAAGGAGACAAACAGAAGTTTAGACTCCCATTCCTACTAGGAACCATTTTTTTCAAAACCCCTAATAGTTTGACTACACCACTGTAAAAGAGAAGAAAGTGAAGATGTGGAATTAGTGTTTAGTAATGGCTTGAAAAGAACAACTACAACCAAATTGGAACTTAGTATATAACTGATATCATAAAGGACATTAGAAAGGAATAAAGAGAACTTTGCTCCAATAGAGACCTTATTGATGAACACTATGATTCAAACTTATTATACAAAACCTCAGAACACAAAAGATAGATGGATAAAGTTGCTGAGATCATTCAGCTGTAATTGATTTAATGATCAGCAATGCTAAAATTAACCAACTAGCAAGAAAGTATCTGAGTAGACCAACTAGCAAGAAGGTGTCTGTTTAACTCATAAATATATGCTTTCATCGCCTCTTTCTTTTTTTCACTAATTGTTGGCTAGTACTTTTATGGTATATATTGGACATGTGATTTCAAATTGTAGACTCTGGAATCTGATATTTTTCTGAAGAGTTTTGCAATTTTTCTAACTTGGCAAGACCCATACTCCAAACTCAGTATCTCCCCTGTTGTGGGCATTAGCATAAAACTCTGCTCAGTTCTCAGCCTTCCCACTATTGCTTTTCCCTTGAGCCCTTGATATTTCACCCACACATGCATAATACTGAGTCTTCAAATGCTTTGTGAGAAGTTAGTACACATATTTTGAACTTGTCCTTCTCGGCCTCTTCCATTTTCAACCAGTCTGTTCATCCATACTTGGTTCTCTGACTTCTTAGCCCAATAAGATAGTGGCTTTTTCTATCAGTGTCAGTTTTATGTGCTGACATGGGAAGTGCCCTCAGGAGAAAAGCTACATAAATAGAAATCATTTCCAGTCTGGTTCCCTTCTTTTAAAGGTTATCTTTCCTCTGGTTTCTATTTGTTTTTTATCCAAATCCAGTGCTTCAATAGATGTTTTCCTTTCTTCAGAGTTTATGCCTGTTATCAGCAGGACAGTTAGTCCAAGAGAAGCCACTCAGCTATTACCAGAATTAAGCTTTACATTTAAGTTGTAAATATTTTTGTGACTTAACATTTATGTTTATATTTTGCTTAGGAGGTGGGAATTTTTCCCCAATGCAGAAGTTTTTCATTTTATATACTCAAATTTATCAATTTTTTGTTTATGGCTTCTGAATTTTGAGTTTTAATTAGAAGAGACTTTCCCATTTAAAGATTTATTGGAATTTATCTATGTCATCTACTAAATACTTAATATTTTTATATTTTTAATCAAACTTTTTTGATCACTTCAGAATTTATCCTGGACAAAAAAAAAGTTTGTAGTACAGGTCATATTGTTTTTCCAGCTTTTTATCCAGTTATCACACCACTATTATCAAGAAATTTGTATTTCTCACATTAATGAATTCTATATTATTTATATACTAAATTCCAGAATGCATTTGGCCTTTTTTTTTTGGTATATCTACTATTGTACCAATATGGCAATTTTTTAGTTATTAAAGCATTATAGTATCTTTATATCTGATAAGGTTAGTCCCTTCAACATTGCTATTTTTTAGACTTTATATGGCCAATCTTGATTATTTATTTTCCATTTAAGTTTTACAATAAGCTTGTTAAAATAGAAACTTAGAAGCACTATTAATAGAATCAAATAAAATTCAAAAATAAGAGAAAAATATCTTTATTATGCTGAATCTTTCTATTCAAAAAACAATGTCTTTCCTCTTATTTAGGTATTAATCTGAGTTTTTAGATAATGCATTAAAGTTTTGTTCGTGTGCATATTTCTTGTTATGTTTGTTCTTAGGTATTTTAACTTGTTATTGCTATTCTCATTAGTCATTTTTACCAAATTAACAAAACCTACTCAAAGTGACTTAACCTTCCCATTTATATTTTTAATTTCAGCTAACAGCTATGAAATAAGAATGAGTAAAAGTCTACAGAATATTCAAGATGATTTTAACAATGCCATTTTAGTGAATACATCAAAGCTAAATCCCCAACCAGCTGGCACCAAGGAGATATTCACATTTTCACCAAAGTTTTTCATAAATGGACCTGAACATCAACCTGATGGAGAGACGCAAAAAAGCCACAGAATTTATGTGGCAATACGAACCATAGATAAGAACTCCTTAAAATCTGCAGTATCTAACATTGCCCAGGCATCATTGTTTATTCCTCCAAATTTTGCTCCTGTGCTTGCCAGAGATTATCTTATATTGAAAGGAGTTTTAACAGCAATGGGTTTGATAGGAATCATTTGCCTCACTATAGTTGTAACACATTGTATTTTAAACAAGAAAAGGAGAGCAGACAGAAAGGAGCAAGAAATAGAACTACTATGAACAAAATTACCTTGGTTCTTAGATGTAAAACCCATGCCCTTTGCACTTTACGAAAACATACCCATAAAAACAAATTAACATCAAAACTGTTAAAAGTACTTTAAATTTTGCATACAACAGATCCTGTTTTTACATTAATAAAAGACAAAAAAATTTTATAACTCACATTTAGAGGGTAAAGTAGAAAATTCTTAAGCTTAGGCTATGAATAAAATAATAAAATGTATTTCCAAGATAATTCTTTAAAGACCAACAAGGCCAGGTCAAAGTCAAATCAGAATCAAGAAAAAGCTCCTTTTATTGAAGAGAAAAGATAGCCCAAAGTAGAAAAAGGAGGTTACATCTGGATGATATAACTGTCTATATGAAGCAATTGTTTAGTTACTTTAATTTTTCATTGTCTTCTTCTCTTCAGAACAGATTGCTTGTTTATGACTAAAGATCAATGTTCATTTTATATATGGTGCCCCTTGTAAAATTCTTTACCTCTAGCCATTTGGTTAACTATATACTACAGATCACTGTAAAAATTAACCTCAAAATGTGGGTATTATCCTTTCCCCATGACATTGGTTTTGTAAAAGAGGTTTATTGAATTTATTGTTTATCAGTTTCTAGTCTCATCTAAGTAGCTTTCCCAGTTATTGTCTTAAGTGTTATTCAAAGCAAACAGTTATAATTTTCATAAGGCTTTAAGTAAAAAATAAAAGACATAGTTCTAAACTTATTTTATTTTATTTATTTTATTTTTTTAAGATATATTTTATTGATTTTTTACAGAGAGGAAGGAAGAGAGATAGAGAGCTAGAAACGTCGATGAGAGAGAAACATCGACCAGCTGCCTCTTGTACACCCCCTACTGGGGATGTGCCCACAACCAACATACATGCCCTTGACTGGAATCGAACCTGGGACCTTTTAGGCCGCAGACCGATTCTCTACCACTGAGCCAAACCGGTTTCGGCCTAAACTTATTTTAATTCATGCACAGGCTACATAGTTTTATTCAATTTCAACCCAAGAAAGGCCTTTGAAAAAGACTGATTCTGTTTTCTGTTTAACTAAGACTCCAGGAATCCTTTCTTGATCAGGGGTTGTTTATATTGATCGAGGGGATGGGGAACAAATTGAGAGAAGAAAGCATAGGTCAGAAGAAATTAAAAATAATTTTTTATCTAATCTTATTTCTCCTATTTAAAAAAAAGATTATTGAACAACAGAATCATTTGCTTTATATGTTAAAGAACTGAAAGCTTTATTGAGTAAATACAGATAACAATGTAAATTAGATATTTTATAATCAGCACCAAATAAAAGGAAAAAAAATAGAATACGTTTTGGGGGTGGGGGAAGAAATTGTAGTAAATTCGGACAAGAAAAAGCATCAGAGAGGGTGAAGCCTTGAGTAAGAGCCTCAAAGCAGCACTGGGGGAGCAACAACCAACAAATCTCTCTACCTAAGCTGCCTCCTTGCAGTTCATACTACATCACAGGCCTGGCCTATCACATTCTCAGTCTATAGTGCCTACATTCTTGCAGATGGGAGAGTTTCAAGCACCCACTTAACAGTCAGTCTCCCCTCTCTCTAATTTGGGTTTTGCTTCTCTGTAATCAAAAGGCTGGTAAAATATTGAGATGGGGTGTGGTAGATTTTATGTCCCCAAATGTTTCCCTTATTTCACAGACAGGAAAATGAATGTTTACGTGAGTAATCCAAAATATTGTGCTGGTTAATGGCAGAGCTATAGGAGTACTGCCAGGTTCTCATACTGCTCCTTCACGCCTGTATATTTAAGAAGGTGTGGGCCCGGCCTATGTGGCTCAGTGGTTGAGCATTGGCCCAGGAACCAAAAAGTCACTATTTTGATTCCTGGTCAGGGCAGATGCCTGAGTTATGGGCTCCATCCCCATCAGGGGGCATGCAGGAGGCAGCTGATCCATGATGTTTCCCTTATCCATGTTGATCTCTCTCTCTCTCTCTCTCTCTCTCTCTCTCTCTCTCTCTCTCTCTCTCTCTCTTTTTCTAAAAAAAAACAAAAACAATAAAAATATATTTGAAAACAAAAATTGTGGGAAGATGCTGGGAATTATGACTAGAAATATTTAACCTTTTCAAGATCAATTAGCAGGAGAATGGGTCTGGCTTTAAAGAACTGGGTGGTGGTTGTTTTACTTTTCCATCTTGGTGTCAGAATGAAAAAGAAATGAACTTAAGCCTATGAATTAGTGATTTGGAAGAGGCAAACAAAGTAAAGGATGCTAAGTGACAAACTAAAATATATTATAGCAGGATAGAAAGGGGGGTTGTATCAAATGAATAGGCCAAACAATATTCAGTAGTTCTGAGGGAATGAAGCATTATAGAATAAAATAAATATATGGTAAATGTGGAAAGTTATTGATTTAGAGAAAAAAGAAAGTTAACTTTCAATGAGAGGGAGATGGAAACAGGAGATAGATAGGATATTTTAGGGGGAATGAGTTAACATACCCTATGCACTGAGCAGATTGCTGTTTATGGGTACACTGTTGACTGCTCTAAAATTACCTTTCCATCTGCATGTTAGTAGAAGAAATCCTACAAAAATAAATATATGTTATTTGCTTTTGGCTTTGCCTTCTGCTATAGTGTAGTTATTCTTAGAAGAGCATTCATTTGAAATTTAATGTGACAAATAATGATAGCATTCATTTAAAACATAATGTGTCAAATCCAATTACAATAATGGCAGAGTTGCTCATATCAAACTAATCATTTTGCTGATAACAGTTATAACTCTCTAAAAAATATATAACATACTCTTGGAAGGCACTGGACACCAACAAAAGCAGGTAGAAACTGAAGGCAATAGGGCCCTTGAAAAAAGGCAAGCAATCTCAGTGAGATCCACATTTAATCAGCTTTCCACTTAAGGCATTCCCAGTTGGTTTAGAGCACCTGGATGAGTTCAAGCAGAGTACAGCAGTCTTATGGAGTTGACAAGACAAAAGTAGGGTTCTGGGGCACCAAAGCACTTGAATATCCCAGAAAGAAAGCAACTGCCAAGGGGAAACTTCCCTAATTGTGTCTGCTCAATCCTTGGGTGAGTCCTAAATTGCAAAGGAATCTGAAGGAAAACAAGAGATTGGGGGCTAAAATTGCTGAACAGAGATTTCAGCAACTGCCTAGTTCTGGAGAGAAAAAGCTTATTTTTTAATCCTCACCCAAGGATATTTTTTCATTGCTTTTTAGAGAGATTGGAAGAGAGAGGGAAAGACAGAGAGAAATATTGATGTGAGAGAAACTCATTGATTGGTTGTCTCCTGCACGAGTCCTGACCAGGGCCCAGGCTCAGGAGGAACCTGCAACTGAGGTATGTGGCCTTGACTGGAATCGAACCTGGGACCCTTCAGTCTACAAGCCGATGCTCTTTCCATTGAGCCAAACCAGCCTGGGTGAGAAAAAGTTTGTTTGATTTCACCAGTTAGAGAGCTTGATAAGCACCTTGTGTTTCCATTGAAATTCCATAAGGATCACATTAGGGGTAAGAACCATGTACCCAGTCTAAGAATTATGCCCTAGAGCCAATGGCAAAATTAAAATAGATTTGCTTTGACAAAAACTAAAACCATATCTCCACAAAATCAAGGTGATTTACCAATAATTTAACTACTACTATAACATAACTCAGAGGAAGATAAAATAATACAGTCTCTACAACATATCATATAGTATATAATGAAAAATTTAATAGATATGCCAATGAACAGGAAATGAGTCCCATTATTTAAAAGAATAACCTAATTAACACAAAGGAGATAGGTAAAAAGCAATAAAGGCACACAAAAAAATAAAGGGAAATAACAGAAATCAAATAGCAAGATGGTAGACTAAAGCCAGCTAATCCTATATAATAAAAGTGTAATATGCAAATCAACCAAACAGAATGACCAGTCACTGTGTGTGTGAGGGGGGGTGGGGGGAGAGAGACAGGAGGAGGGCAAAGCCAATGAGCAGGAGGCACTAGGCCAGCCAAGGCGCATGCCAGTGGGCAGAGGGAGGGGACAGCAAAATGGGGGGAGGAGCAGCAACCAGTGGCTGTAGAGGGGTGACGGGGGGGGGGGGGGGTCCACACCTGTTGGTGCCAACCCCTAATCAGTTCTCCTGGTTGCCTCCCACAGAGGAAAGCCAGACTGTGCCTTAGACCCGCTCTCTGGGCCTAAGCCATCAGTAGGAAATCCCCTGAGAGCTCCCAGACTGTGAGAGGGTGCAGGCCGGGCCATAGGACCTCCCCCTGAGTGCATGAATTTTTGTCATGGGCCTCCAATATAAATGAATTAAACACGTCAACTGAAAAGCAGAGATTTTCAGATTTAGTAAAAAGCAAGACTCAACTATATGGAATTTATAACAGATGCATTTTAAATATACAAAGACATATAAGTTGCACCTTATCCAGTTTGGCTCAATGGATAGAGCATCAGCCTGCAGACTGAAGGGTCCCAGGTTTTATTCCGTCAAGGGCACGTGCCCAGGTTGTGGGTTCCATCCCCAGTAGGGAGTGTGCAGGGAGCAGCCAATCAATGATCCTCTCTCATTGTTGATGTTTCAATCTCTCTCTCTGAAATAAATTTTAAAAAGACATATAAATTGAAAGTGAAAAAAAATGAAAATGGTATGATATGCAAACACTAAAAATAAGAAACCTGCTATTAGTGTATTGTTATGAAATCAAATAGACTTTGAGAAAGAAGAGACAAAGAGAGTCATTCCATAATGATAAAAAAACTAAACTCATCAAAAAGACATAACAATTCTAAATGTGCATATAGCTATTAACAGAGTTTTAAAATACGAAAAACAAACCAAAATCCAGAACTAGAAATAGACAAATGAACAATTAAAGTTAGAGATTTAACTCTCCCACTGTCAATAATTGTAGTCCATGCAGACAGAAAAACTCATTAAGAATGGAAAATAGCTTAACAATATTATCAACCATTTGACCTTGACATTTACAAAATACCATACCCAATTATGCAGAATACACATTCTTTTTAAGTCCTCCTGCAACATTTACCAAATTATTATAAGCATAAAATACACCTCAGAATAAAGTCCAGAAACAGACCTGCACATGTATGGTCAATAGATTTTCTATAAAGGCATGTGCAAGCCAGTGGGGCAAGGCAGCCCAATTGGTGAAAGAGTTCTTTTCAATAAGTGATATTGGAACAACTAGACATATATTTTGGAAAACAATTTTATTCCAACCTTAAAATATGAATTCATGATAGATCATAAAAAGAAGTCATAACTACCGTATTTTTCGGACCATAAGACACACTTTTTTTCCCCCAGAAGTGGGGGGAAAAAGTTCCTGCGTCTTATGGTCCAAAAATAGCCTACACATATACTTTTTTTAAAAAAGTTTTTTTACTTGCCCAGCTCTGTGTGGTCTCTGTGTGCTTGCCCGG